GCGAGTGTGTGTATGTATGTATATAAAACATTATAATACAATAATATATATACATATATTTATATATATAGATATAGATATAGATATAGATATATATATAGATAGATACAAATAATCACATACATGCCAACATGCATACATGTATACATACATGCATACAACCCCCCTCCCCCCCCCCCACCATATATATATATATATAACACTGTCACACACACTGTCACACACACACACACACATATATATATAAATATATATATATCCTCGAGCTTTCTCGATGTTTTCCAATCTGCAAGCGTACCTGCATCGACCAAGAGTTCTTTGACTCGCTCCTCATATAGCAACGTCAGATAGCCCAGTAACAGACGTGGCAGATCACGGTAGTCACCCGTGCGCAAGGTCTGAAACACCATCTATGCAATGCAAATTTCGATTTGATGTTAGAATTGAAGCACAGAATATGCGTTGACACGAGAAACACTGATGCAGTGCTCGCACAGTATATACACATGCAGAACACAAACTACTGTCACTGAAGAAATGGTCAACGCGAGTCCTGTAGATCTCATAGATTCCAGGGACAGGGTAAGGGGAACTTGTCATGTTTAAGTCTCATCTTTGTCACACATCTCGTCCACACAAATACAAAACAGCCCGGATGCATATGGCAGTCATTAAATACAAAAACCAGGTCTAAATACTCTTACAGCTTGCAACAGGCACCAAGAGCAAACGACACATCTTCAGATATCTCGGTAGCCTATAATGACAGCTCATCACAATACCAAGGCCGTCACGGTTTAATAACGCAACACAAAAAACCCGTGGCACAATTGTAATGTCATAAGCATATGCTGATAATCCAGTGTACTTGCTGAATTGTACAAAAAACGGTCCATGAAAATCAACGAAGTTCACTTGCAAGACAGAAATCGTTGCGCATACCTTGAACAAATCTATGTACTGCGGGTCTTGGTACAGCGTCAGGAAGGGTGCACCGTAGCTGACATCCACGAGGCCATACGAGATCAATCGCATGAACGCTCCCATCACCTGCGCAAGTGCAGTATACAAGCATACTGTCGGTCAATCGCCACATATACGCACAGCGCACATGTGCTGACGAAACCGCATACAATCACATCCAGTTACATTTTACGGATATGCCAGAATCTGCACCGTTTGCCAGGTTCGATCCATCAATTCGAATCAATCAGCCAGCCTCCGACAATACCGGAAAACTTGCACATTTACGACTGAGATCACTCATCGACACTACCAGACCGTATAAACTCAAATATGCTTGCATGTGTGAGCTCATACATGTTTGCGATTGATCGCCTCCTGGGCTTTATCCCAATCGTCACCCTCCAGTGGATCCAGGTCACCTAAACGGCCATGCATCATATCTTCACTCGTTGAAATCTCACCTGAAAATCAATTATAAGTTGCAGATTAGAAATGACATGAACTTCTCTAATCGATTGTTCAAGAAAAATTATCTTATCACGTATGCAAATCCCAAGACTATCCAATTAGGCCTTGATTCTTTCTTTTATGATGCATTATGTTTACATGTGCACATGATGTGGGAACAGCGAGAACATGAAATTTTCTTACAACACACGACAGACGGTTTGCTTAGACAAAATCCAAAATAATAACACAAAATCCAAAATATGCAGATATATCGCTTCAACCAAGTTCTTGACATATTATTTATAAATACACAACCCAACCTCCAGTATTTGGAGTGTGAGTTGTTGTGCACTGTAGTGCCTCCATCGCAATATTCACAATCAAGAGGTATATCACATTCGCTAACCCACTAAACGCACAAGTCAACATATAATACATCATACATTACGTGATACACAACCCACCCTCGAGTATCTGCAGCACAAAGTTCTTGCACAGCTCCATCTCATCGGTGGAGAGGGTGTGGGTAACCTTGTGTAGAGGACTGTCTTTCATAACTTTGCTGAAGATAACCAGGGCATCAGACACCAGCAGTAAACTCTGTGCACAGACGCGAGAAAAGTAGAATGTCTGACTTATAATATACTAGTCTACTAAGGTCTACGCGCTCTTCTGTTTCATCTCCAACACCAAAAGCTTAGTTCTGTAAATAATTGGCCTAGAATTACAACCCATATGACCAAATCACCTACCTTGATGCGAATAATAGGGTTCGGACTGGTGTCCACCAATGTCAGCAGCTGAGATATATATATATCTGTACGGTGCTTCAGACCTGTGGCATAGGTGTCATCCACATTGTTGGGGTCTAGAGTGCGGAATTGCCACATGAGACACAGAAATATTGTGTGTATGGCTGACACGGCAATCTCGGTGGCCACGGAAGCTTCACCCGCGTCGTCAACGATCAGCGCAACCTATAATTTACATGAGGTGATTCATCATACGTTTGAGAGAATACGATACATATACGTAGAAGAGAATCTTGAATTGAATACCAGAGCAATACCTGCACCCTAGACACCGCATCACATATCGCATTGCTTGCTAAACCGAAAGCATCAGTAATACAATTTGGCGTGGAGTTTATATACGTGAAAGTGAGGAGTAGAATGCGAGCAAGGTGTGCGTCACTGCCGCACAAAAGCACTTTACCACCCGCAAGATAGACGCAAGTATCAGCACTAATGATCTCAGCTAGTCACACGATTCGGCATGAATGGCGTGGTGTGAAACCTACCACTGTCGATATCACAATTGACACAGATGACACTGATGTGCCGCACAACCGAAAGGACAATACTAGCATACGACTAAATCATCAGAATAAGAATAAGAATAAGAATAAGAATAAGAAATATATATACATATATATGAAATACGGTTGTGAGTGTATATATATTCAGCATACCTTCTGATTGAGTGTGTTGAATGATGACAAGTCAAAACGACCATACAGCACACGCACACGGCCCACAACCGCCCGCAGATTGACTGTGGCATTATTCTCCTGTGCACCCGTTGCTTCGTGGAATGCATCCAGCGCAGTGCCCAGACGCTCCTAGACGAATGTATAGGGATATCAAATAGTTTCATTTTTTGGTGATAAATGACAAATCTATGAGAATTTTCTCATGTTAATCATCTGACGATGCGTGTCCATTGTGTAAGCATATCCACGTAGTATCTGCCTGGAGATACACCCTAAGTGTGGAAATTGATGCTGAGAATGTACCGCACGCTAAGTTTCAGAATGCTGAGAACGTGCAGCATACCAAGGCATCTGAACGTAGATGCAGGCAATCGCCAGAAGTACTATATGAAGCATATCATCATATTTATACGTACTCATAACCATACGACAACGTTTTAGAAAAGGCACCTAGGAAGTATATAACGTGACGCAACAGTTCTACCCAGTTTAAATTGGTTCGTTTGCGCTATAAGACCTTGAATCTCATAGTGTGGTGTAAGAAATTGGGTGTATGGTTCAAGATAACTAGCTGGACGGCCGCGAGTAAGTGTGGTATAGCTGTTCCAACGCACATTTTTTTTAGTGTATGCGTGCATCGTTGTCTGTTGTTTCAGTATTATATTAGAGTACCGAATGATTGATTGTCCGAAAGTGCTGTTATGTGAGACTCGCAGAACCAGAGTGATGCGTACGGTTGCCATATATATATATATATATATAATATAGATATATATATATATATAACAACACGTATAGATATAGATATAGATATATTAATTAATATATAATATACATATACTTATACATATATATATATATATATATATATATATANATANACTATAT